GTATTTTTCCTATAGTTATACAAAAACACAAAATAAATAAGTATTTATATTTGTGTACTAGCTGTTTAGATTGTCAAAAGCCTGTGTTTTTAGGGTTATTAACAAAGTTCGTGTACTCAGACCAGTAATATTTGGGGTCACAAGTTTTTGCCATGGATATTTTGTGGGTCAGAAGATAAAAAGCTTGGGAACCACTGTTCTAGATTACATTTATGCCACAGCTGTGGTATACCACAGAGTTCGATTTAGCAAATCAGTGTTGAAGTACTTTATGTTGAAATGCCACCGGCCAACTTCCGTGTGTGTTTCATCTTTTCCTGTCCGGCTTGTCGTTCACCTGCTCCGGGACTTTTGTCTCCGCCCACCCCCGTCTCATGACAGCACTGCTTGGCAGAGTGGGTGTGCTCGTTTCATCAAGGATCCTCGCCACAAAAGAACCCGGATACAAACTTATCTTTTAATTTGTATTTTAGCTTCAGCTTTACACGGAAATTAAGTTTTATCGGAAATTAAAAAGTTTTATCGCCTGAAACCAACTTGACCCATAATACACATGGAGAAAACACAGGATTCAAGCAAGAAAACATTCCTCGTGCGCACAAATAAAGACCATGCTGGTTAAACATTACTGAATGTGAGCTTTACGTTAAGTAAATACTAGAACTTTAGCTCAGAAAATCACATTAATAAATTATTATATTATTATAAGAATTAGGGGCAACGAAGAGTAGATCAGTATTTATCAAGAAACTTTGCTGCTTCTGCTTTGCTAAATATTTTATTGAATAAACTACAAATACATCCATCTTATTATAAATCCATTATTTACTCTAACCCACAACATGAAAACCTGTTGACTACAAAGCATTTTTCTTTCTCCAGCCTTTTCCAACATAAATATTATAACGTTAGCTATTCTAGAAATATATGGCATCAGATATAAAACTGCAGGACATTCTTAACATTCAGCATTATCATTTATATATTGCACATAGTTATCCATTTTTTAAAAAAGATCTAACTACGAAAAAAACTAGTTTGGTTTATAGCAAATGTTTATACATCCCACAAATCATGATTTTCTTAAACATATTTCCTCGTTTTAGATGAGATCTGATTTAAATTGCATTTTCTGTAAAAGGCATTTCTGGTGCAGTCACAAAACTGACAGCAACAAGATGACCTCTGAGTTTTTATTTTATTTTTGCTTAGAAACTTGTTTTACTCTTTGGTGTTATCAGGACACTTTGGTGTTACATTTGTAAAAATAAAAATCCTGCTTTTTTTGAGCTTTGTGGCACTAGCTTATCAGGATATGTTTTACTTTTTTTAGTGTTCTTTTCTTTGTCTTCTGATGAGCAGAGTGTAAACATCAATCGTCGCAGGTCTAGATGCGGGTAAGGAAGCCCAGGTTAAGGCTGCCAGGGATCTGAATGGTTTCCAGAGCCACGGGGGAAGGTGTGAACGGGAACGTGACAGAGAAGATCTTCTTGACGTCCATGGTTAAAGTGGACGACGACTCCTTCCTGTCTTTCAAAAGACTCTGAAACATGAAGGGGAAAAAAATGTTAATGAATATTTGGACGACTTCTACAGTAATCCTGAAATAAAAAGATCAAAACTTGACTCACTCTAATAATTGTGATGAAGGTGGTTGAGACTCGTTCTTCAAACTCAATCACTGGAGTGTACAGGGTCAAGATTTTAACAATCTGTTCAGAAAAAAACAAAAATCAAATATTGAAGCAATAAGACAAACATGAACTGATTTAGGGTTAGGTCAGTTAATGATGCTGGACCTGCGCTGTGGTGAGGGCGGTGCACATGTTGCAGATCGATTGGGCGTCTGCTTCCGTCTTCTTCTTGATCTGCAGCAGCTGCGCAGCCTGGACCAGAGGCTCCAGAGTCTCCTTCGCCCCACAGTCAGTCAGCTCCCGCTCCATCAGCCACTCCTCCAGCTGCCAAACGTTGTACCTGAAAAACACACATTCAGAAACAGATGATTTCTACTATCATGGCTGTGCAAAAAAAATAAAATAAATCAATAAAACAAACATGACCATGTTCCTCTCAGCACCTGATCTGCAGCCCTTTACTCCATGAGCACATGTCCTTCCTCAGCAGCAGGTGGTTGAGAGTGACCGCACAGATGATGTAAAACTGCTGCCTGACCGTCTGTCTGATGAGCTCTGAGTCCATCCCGTGCTGACTCATGGTGCTGTGGAAGAAGGTCAGACGCTGCAGGAGGACCTCCACGCTCACAGCCTCCTCCTCGGGGAAGCTGCTGCTCCTCTTCCTCAGGCCCGTGGGTTTGGCCCCCAACACCCCGTGTATGGTCTCGTGCTCCAGCATGCTCGCCACTACAGGCAGGACAGAAGACTGAGTTCAGACAGGAGCGTGAGCGAGTCACCGCGCCTGAGGGGACGACGCCGTCTCACCTATGATGGGCAGCAGAATATTCTCCATGCATTTGATGAGCTGACGGTAAATCTGGATGGCCAGATCGCTGAAGAGCTGATGGTACTCTGACAGCTCAAAATTAGCCAGACTTTGCTCGTTCTGCTTGGCTGTATTGTGCATCATGTAGGCCTACAGAGCCGGCAGGTTAGACTGAGGGTTAGGTTCAGAAAACATGGCACTATTAACTAAAGAGCCATATCAAACCTAGAACACTCACCTCGTCTCCGCTGTACTGCTTAAGGCAGTGCATCAGCCTGCACGTGTTGGCCAGCCAGAAAGAAACCACTTCTAAATCATTTCCTTTCCTCTGCAGAAACATTTGACAGCAATTCAAAAACGCACATTCTTAAAGGGATCCCTGATTAGTTGTAACATTAGACTTTATTTGATAAACATTTATTTTAACTGTAAAATAAAAACTGTAAAAGACTGTAAGCTGTTTAGTTTTGTAATTTTTTAAAAATATATTTTAACAGACAGAGCCATATTATTTACACGCAAAGCATTCTGGGTAAATGATGACGTGGATATGTCCTCGGTGTGAGCGAGCTATATCCACCCTGAAGGTTAATCTTGGACAATATCTGATGATCGACTCTTTTAAATGAAACCAGAGAGCGTTGACAGAGAGGAGAAGGTAGAAATGACTCAGCCTGKAACTGAAAATATGGATGGAGGACAACAGAGCTGCTTCATGGAAGAAGAACCTCAGCTTAGCCTTTGTGCTAGCACCGACGCTATATTGCCTTATATGTATTAGCTCAGCGCTAGCGCGACAAAGTACTGTTGTCCTTCATCTATATTTTCAGTTACAGGCTGAGTCATTTCTACCTTCTCCTCTCTGTCAACGCTCTCTGGTTTCATTTAAAAGAGTTGATCATCAGATATTGTCCAAGATTAACCTTCAGGGTGGATATAGCTCGCTAGCAGCCTCACACCGAGGACATATCCACGTCATCATTTACCCAGAATGCTTTGCATGTAAATAAAATGGCCCCATCCGTGTAATATATTTTTAAACTTTAAGTTTAAAAATGATAAAAACTGAACACCCTACAGTATTTTTACAGTCTTTATTTTACAGTTAAATATATGTTTATTAAATAAAGTCTAATGTTACAACTAATCATGGATCTCTTTAATTTAAACAAGTCGATGTTAAATTTGGCACCTTTATGACTCCTTTGATGGTGCTGATGGTGGAGTTGAGGAGGGTGCTGACTCTCCTGTCATCGTTCACGCTGTCTGCGTGACGAAGGCACATGAAGATGATGTAGGCAGGAAGCCCCGGAGTGAAGCTGACTGCTACGCCGCGAGGCTTCAGATCTGTGGGTACAACGTTTAGTGGGGAAAAGTACAACTCGTTACTGGAACAAAACCGGGTGTATGAGCGGCACAAACCTATGATCAGGTTCTTGAACAAGCGGCTGGTGTCCCCATCTTTGAACTGCAGCATGCCCTGGAACTCCTTCTCCTTGCGGGGGATGTTCACTGGCCTGGCGGGCGTGCTCGTCACCGAGGCGCCGCTCAGCTGCTGAGAGCTCTCTAAACACAGCAACACGAGTCAGCAGGGTTAATGGGAAGTCACCATGAAGACAACACAAGCTATATACTTCAACTCCTCCCCTTGAGGCAGAACCTCACTCCCAACACAGGCATTCATTTCCTATCAGGTAAATGTGATTCTTTATTATCCTCAATACATGCTGATATGAACTGACACTGAAATAGAGAAAACACAACAATCTCAAAATCAAACTTATTTGAATGTAGTGCCTGCAGGCTTGTAGTGACATGTAGGCCTAACTCTCTCAATATCAATGTAATCAATGTTTGTCCAGAGTGTTGATTCCTCCTTCCAACTACTTTTCAGAATAATCTAATAAATCTAAATCAGCTGCTAATGAGTAATTTTGTCTTTAGTGTCTCATTAATTGTTGACCGTTTGCTTTCTGCCCACCACACAAATGTGCACTTCTGTTTACAAACATAATCCTTCCATTTATTAGTTTTTTACAGATGCTCATTTCATTACCTGCAAATTCTTCCACTTTTTTCATGTAGAATTTAAGTTGTTTCTTCAACTTGCGTATGACTTTGTCTTGATTTTCTTGTTGCTCCATTCGATCCTGAAATTATTTAAGGAAAAACACGGAACAGAATTAAAAAAAAATGACTTTAACATGTGACAGAATGGTGTGTTTTTAAATCAGCAATTAAATGTTCCTTAACATGACAAATATCAGTGTGCTGAAACTAATAACGTCAGTAGTAAAAGTCAGAGTAAGATTTCATTAATCAGACCCACCAGGTTCTCAGCAGTGAGTCGTGTGATCTCGTGCTTCAGGCTGGCTTCAACTCGAGCGTCTTCTGACATCAGCAGGCTCTGAGCCAACAGTTTCTGCTGCTGCTCCTTTTCAGCCTTCAGCTTGTTCACCTCCTCAACAAGCTTCCTCTGCTTCTCGTCATGACTATGCGCCTGCTCCTGCATCTGGCACTCCAGAAGCCTGCAGCATGAGAGAAAGAAAAGTGTTCAAAGTCCTTGTAGCATGACCGTGTTTGATTTATAATAACTCATTACCTGTTGGTCTCTTTCAAACCTTCATAAGCCAGCCACAGCTCTCCATCTTCATTCAGTGTATGAACGTCAGTGGACCTGAAGAAAAGAAGAGTTCAAGTACATTAAATAAGTACAAAATAAAACTGAACTGTCAAACTGGTGTCCTGTTAAAATGAAAAAAACATTTAGCTTTTAAACAAAGATTGATTGGTTGTGTTGACAAACAGAGAAAATACCCCACCACAGAAACAGAGGTAGTAGCTGAGAGTCATCCCATTACATCACGTGTCAAATTCAAGGCTCGTGTCCAAAGGTGGCCCGCCACAGCATTTTATGTGGCCCATGAGAGCTTCAATACGTATTGTCTTAAAATATGCTGCATTAAAGACAGCACTGACCATAAACTACATGTCCCACAATGCATGCTGATTATCCCACCACTAGGTGGAGGTGCAGAAGTTTTCAGCTAAATCCACAGAGTAAAATCTCCATTTTGTTGTATTTTTTTCCCCCCACTGGCTACTTTTGCTGAGGTCCAGCTCTACTGGGAAGTGGGAATTTCCCACTTACAAGTGGTACATTTAAAAAGGAATGCCTCTCCAGTGGGAATTCTCTGTTGGAAAGTGGGAGATTTCAGAATTCAAAATGTTAGGTACTCACACAACTCTCTTACTTTTACTTTAATAGTATTTCTGTATTATTTATTTCACATTTAGTCAGTCGTACATGTAGTACATTCAGTACATGCAGCGCATTCCTTCTAAGATACCTAGTTTCAATTTAAATGTAAAGTTAAATACATTTATAGTTATATTTCCCATGACGAAACAACTTCAAACTTTTGGGAAATAAATTCAACTAAGGAAATTTTACTTGTGACAGGGCTTTTACAAAAACCTGAAAAGCTTGATGTAAGATCTCCAGACAGTCATGAGTTTGATTTTATTTTAAAAATTTCTGGGACATGTAAACATTGACTTTTCTGTGTGTGTTCTTGCTAACATGTAGATTAAAAGTGAATCCAGGTGGTGTTACCTGTCATGATCTTGGAATGAAGGAATCTCGCTAAAATCTAATTTCACACCACCTCCAAGTACCGAATCCTGGACATCAAAAACAGTTTAACATTATTCATTCATCATATCAAGAACCTATTGAACAGTTTGTCACATTTTTTCTGATTGGGTTATTAAAAGCTGAAATGAGTGACTGAACGTCTCACCTTGTGTTTTAGAGCCTCCTGTCGAACCATGTGTGAGCGGAGGAGCAGCACCTCCTCTTTTCTCATTTCCAGCTCCTCGTTGGAAGAACTGAGCTGATCCAGCAGGATTTTGTAGGGCAAAGAACCAGGGGCAGGGGGCGCCAATTCACTGCTCTCACTGGTCAGAGACTTCCGCAGCTCGTTTAAATCCAGCTTTAATTTCTTGTTCTCAGACTCCAGTTCTTGTCGCTGCATTAAAACAGTTTAAAAAACTGAATTAAGAAATATATGGTTGGGTTTTAATTAGTTTTTTTAAGTTTGTCAGCACAGATAAGTTACCTTTATTTTTTCCAAGTCCAGTTCTGTTCTTCCAACAGTTCTCTGCTCCTCCGCCTCCTGTTTCAGAAAAAAATACACAGAAGCTCAGCATCAAGGTAGCACAAAATAGTAAAAATGACTTGACCTACTTTTGCCTTTTCTTGTTGGGCTTCTTCTTTTTTATCCAGCTGGTGCCAAAGTGACCGATTTTCCTCCTCCAGATCCTTCACTCTTCTCTGGAGCTTCAGCAGAATCGACAGGTCTGCTTTAGTCTGCATCTCATCCTGAACAAACACAAAAAAACACTTCTTATTATATTTATATTATTCAGCTCAAAGGCTGCATTAAATGTGTCAGAAACAGACAAAAGCAAATAATTTTCAAACAGTTTGAGGAATTTTGTTCTCTGCAGTTGAAGTATTAAATTAATCTACACAAGCTAACTTTTCCACCAATTTTAACCTTTATTGAAGCATTATAAAAATGTTTCCTGTAATCTGTAATACACTGTTTTAAATGAAAAACTGTGCATATATAAACATAATAAAAATAATAATAAACCAAGTAAGAAGATTTCATGGTAAAAATAAAAACTCCATATTTTTATTCTAACAGTAGATGTTTTAGTAATTTACTGCTCTGGAGCATTAATGTGGAGAATAAATAAAATTATTCAAGTCAGATATTAAACTTTCAGAGAGTGAGTGTTCCTGTAACATCACCCCGAGATCACTCAAAACATACCTTACATTAAAATAAAAGACAAATCAGAGGCTAAAAGGTCCCAAGTTAACATGTTTCATGCAGAATCAGAGGGAGACTGAACAAGTTTGGTTTCTTTGGTAAAAATCGAATGCCCTCATGTAAACTGTGGAGCATCAAGGTGGAAGAGTGATGATTTGGGTTTGTAGTGCAACTGCAGAATTTGCACACCTTGCTGAACTTCTCTGTGAACCTAAACTTTCTGAAGTGAAATGCAAAGTCTGGCTGCTGGAGTTTGGCTAAAACTGAGTCCTGCAACAGAACCATACTCCCACTCTGCACCATCAAATCTATTTCAGAATGACTTTAAAGTACATCCAGGTGATGCAATGATCCGGTCTAAAAGATGAGAACTTCATACATTACCTCTGTGTGCACGGAGCCGTCTTCACCTTCAGTCGAGCTTAAGCTCTGAGAAAACTCAGAGGAGATACTGCTGTAGTTGGAATCCGTCCTTTTGTGACTAAATTTGCTTGAATTCTTGTTAAAAGTGAGAGAAAGAAGCCATTTAGTTATTGCTATTCAAGAAGAAAGTGTAGAGATTAAACTGATGTTACGGCTTTGCTGAATGAAAACATTAATTTTGTGAAATTAGTAATCCCACAGCTACTATAGATATTAATATCCACTGCTGGTGAGGATACTTTTGTACAGTTTATTGAATTAACTCAGAGTGAAGCTGTGGCTGAAGGGGATTATAGATTTTTAAAATCAGACCTAAATTAGGAAATGTCTATGAATTTAAAATATTTTAATCCAGCTCACAAAGCCAAACAAAAACAGTTTCTCACAATACTGAGACTCATCTCTTCCTTCAGGTCTTTGTGCCGGTCCTCCAGCTGCAGGTGTTCACTCAGCAGGCTTTGGTATCGAGAACGCTCCTCGATCAGGTCTTTCTCCAGCTGTTTGGTGCTCTCAGACGTCGTTTTAATATCTGAGTCAAAACAAGTTTTACTGCGAATATTTTACGTTCAGGCAGTAGTTGTGATCTGTGAAGACCTGGGCTGTTTCCAAACCTGTCAACTGTTGAGTTTGTTTCAAGACTTCCTGGTTCAATTCGTCAATGTTGCTCTGTAACAAGTTGTTCTTCATATTAAGCTCATCTACCACCTGATCAAAGAGAACAAAAACATGCTTTAGTAAATGATTATATTATATAAAAAGCCTAGTAGATTAAATTATAAGTAAAGATTTTTAATTGGTTTCAGATCTTTCATAAAGTTAAAAACAGTTTTGATTCATTTTATTTTTAGGTTCAAAAGTATAAATTTAGCTAAATATCTTTATTTTCTACATATTCCCTCTTGAGCATTTCCCGTTTTCTGTCTTTTAACTTCTGTTAACGTAAGATCTGTCAGTTGAACCTTGACATGTTTGGTATCAATAGAAAGCTCAGAATTTTGGCTAAAAGCTCATGGAAACCATATTTACATCCACCAAACACAGTTCAAATGACAGTCAGTTGAATCAGAAAGTAAACAAACTGTACAAAATGGGATTGTTGCAAATCTGTAAATATATTACAACAAACCTGTACATGAAAAATTTGACCTTTGTTTTAAAAGTAAGTCAAAGCAGATACCTAAATAGGTTTTAGTGCGTTGAAAGTTTCTTTTACTTGATTTTGAGTGAATGTAGTCAACTGAATTCAAATATAATTTCTCATTATTTTATATAATATATATGGTGACAAATTAAATGTATGGATAATTTTTCAAAAGAACAAACATTCAATAACAAGTCTTTTCAGTCAGGCAAGAAAAAATTAATAACTTTGGCAATTAAAAACTTAAGATTTCTTAACATTTATTAATGGTACCATCATGGTCTGTCGTGTGCTGATTGACAAAATTCAATATTATTTCTTTACTAAAACATCTGTACCTTTGCTCCAGTTGATTTTAGCAGCATGAATCTTTGCACAGATAATGTTCACAAGTGGATTTATGGTTTACAAGAGTTTTTTGCCTACTTCATTCTGGTTTTAAATGGGCTATATACTGTCAAATGCAAACATTATTCAGACGGGGGTAAAAAAATGTAAAAAAATCTTTTCCATCCTCAATATCTCTAAAACCACAGCAGCTGTTTTAATACTTACACTTCTGATGAAATCTCCCAAACTCCCCTTAAATAATCCCAAGATTATTTAAGTGGAGTTTGTAAATGCTGAGATACACTCACTTACATTTCAGCATGGTATTTTGAGCAAAAACATCAAGAAAAGCCCTTGGGGCTTAAGAGGTCAAAGTAGAAATCTGAAGTTTTCATTTTCCCAAAAACCATCCTCAAAAAGACCTACCTGTTGTGTTTGCTCCTTGTAGCTCTTCATCTGCTCCTCCAGGTCAGTCTTCTCTCTGCTGGTGTTCTCCAGCTCATGTTGAAGGAAGGAGAGCCGCTCCAGCAGCGAGGGAAGCGTCTCTGCTTTGGCCCTGGACTCCTGCTCGGAGCTCTGAAGGTTTTCTATCTCTCTGATCTGTCGGTCCCGCTCAGCGGCTCGAGTCTTCTCCAGAATACAGAGCCTCTCACTGAGCTCTCTGTTTTCTTTGTTCTGCAGGGGGAGATGCAGACACATGATTTGCATGTGATATGACAACTCACGATGACGCAACCAGTTAATTTCCTGCATTACTTGTGAATTTAGTGTCAACAAAACAAAACTACACTCCACCCTTCTCACCTGTTCGTTTATCTTGAGTTGCAGCTGCATAATCTTGTTTTCCATGCCGACGTTGAGCTTCTTGAAGTGCTCCACAGAGCGCGCCTCCACTTTCAGCTTCTTCAGTTCTCTCTTGGCCCACATGCGGCGCACACAGCTCTGCAGCAGGACGATGGCTGACAGAGTGCGCCTGTACCGCTGCTTGGCCAGCCAGCCTCTCACCCACTTCTGAATGATCAGCGCCCTGTGCTCATATATCAACTGGGAAAACACACAGGAATAAAATGTCCGACTTCAAACAGACAAGACGTTTCTTTTCAAAACATCAAATTATTCTTGTTTAAAGCATGTGTCGAACTCAAGGCCCGGGGGCCAAGTGTGGCCTGCCACGGCATTTTATGTGGCAGGCAGGTGCTTCAAAAATGTATTAATGTCTTAAATAACCGTATGTATACGAGCATAACATGTTTTAAAGCCTGCATTGACCATAAACTACATCTCCCATAATGCATGTCAATGTTTTTTACCCATGAAATGATTGCATGAAGGATTTCTTTGGTATAATTTTACCTGGGACAATCAGTGAACAGAAGGAGGAGTTCTGAACGACATTTTCTGCGCAGTGTCTGCTTGTAGTTTAGCAATGGCAGCAGAGGAAGTGAATGAAGCCAGTCTGTGTTGACAAGGCTTCCAAATTAAATTAAATTTGTCTGACAAAGCCTGCAGCTCTCATTTACAGCCATCTCGCTCGGCCCAATACTTCTCTCCTCTCAGTAAGGTTGTTTACAGCGCACGCAATTTCCAGTTAACTTCTTAGCTTAGCCTCCTTCCCGGTCGAGCTGACGCACTGCATACGTTGTGGCCAACTGTTAGCGATTGGGTAATCCAATTGTTTTAAACTTCAACAGAGGCCACGCCTCCAGCAAGCAATCGCTTCTCAATAGCCGAGAGTCCAGACCCTCTGTATGAAGCAAAGCAAAGAACAAGGGGCTGGGTTTTACCAGGCTAACTCACCACACCTCTACAGTGAGAAAAACTTACTTTTACTTTTAATAGGATTTCTGTATTATTTATTTACCATTTCAGTCATACACATAGTACTTTTCAGTGTTTATAAGAGGACGTGTTAAAATGCCGTTTCTATGCAGGAAATACCATGTAGAGCTCAGTTAAGAGTTAATTAGCAGTGCTCAGTTGTAGCAATGATCAAGCAACATGATGCTGGCTGTTTAACCAAAGTTAAACATGAAACATCAAAGTTAATTACAACAAACCCTTTGAGGGCCACCATAACACTCATGAGGCCCTCGGAGAAAATAAGTTTGACACCTCTGGTTTAAGCAGTACTAATTATTTTAAATAAAACAATTTAAGGAGTGCCTTTTAGAATTTACAAAAAATGTTAGAAATTCCATACTTCAACAAAAAAATTATATAACACACACACACACACACACACACACACACACACACACACACACACACACACACACACACACACACAC